ACCCCCCCTGAGCCCGTCTGGCTTCAGTACAGAAGTGAAGGGCATCTACCAATCACCAGGGACCCAATCCTAATCTGATGAGGGAACGTTTCTATATCTAGGAAATGAGGAAGGTGTGGGAATTAGAAAATTTTGCAATCAGTCCCAAATAAGTCATGGATTAGGGCAATAAACAGCATAAAAAGAGAGAGAACCCAACGTACATGTACACAATGATTCGAATACTACACTGCTGTAAAAAAGAAGGAACTTTTAACATTTGCAACAGCATGGATGGACCTGGAGAGCATTATGTTAAGTGAAATAAGCCAGAGAAAAATAAATATCACATAATCTCATTCATTTGTGGAATATAATGAACAACATAAACTGAACAACATAAAATAGAGCCAGAGGAAAAAATATTTTAGCATATAATTGAAGTAATTTGGTTATTTGCAGATTATGAATATTTCCTACAACTTTAGTGATATTATACTGATACTATATTAGTACGGTTTGGGTAATATTATTATACTTAAAATCTTTTTTTCTTGAAATATTAATGTTTATTGCAAGGAATATAATTATATTTAAAATCATTTTTCTTGAAATATTAATTTTTATTGCATGTAAATGGATAATTATTTTGTATCTACAATCTGGTAATAGATTTATTTTGTATATTGTAAAAAACAAACAAAACAACAAATATCCATGCACAGTACACATACGCCCACATGTATTACACACACAATCTGGACAAATCTTCCCTACCCCAATATATAAGGTCATTTTTCCAGGCTTCCAATTATTCAGAGGTTAACCTGTAGAGTCTAGAAGCTACAGCAGGCTGAGGACCTCACAGGGGACAAGAGTCCCCCAAACCGCCCCCCCCCCCAAACACACACACAATCACACATTCTTCCCATGGGGTGAACATCAGTAAGCAAATCCCCAGGCAGAGCTGCAGCTCCCAGCTCGGGCCACTGCAGCTCCCTGAAATCTGTCTCACCTTCCTGGCTGTTTTCTTGCAGTTCCGTGAAGAGCCCAAGCCTGGAGACCTGATTGAGATTTTACACATCGGCTACTCGCACTGGGCCCTCTATGAGGGCAATGGTTATGTGATCCACCTGGCTCCCCCAGGTAAGGGGGGTTGAAAGTATAACTTTCCAAAGGTTTGTTACCATGAAGAGAACAATTTAAGGCCAAATGCCACCCTGGGAACCAGCGTTACTTTCTCCCTGAGCAGTTCTTGTGCTCACAGCTCATCTGTGTTCCTTGGAGGCATCTCAGCGGTCCCTCTGGTCTTGCCCCAGCAGGCAAAGAGATCCATGGGCCCAGGGAAGCTGGGCTGGGGCCGCATTGGACACTCTCCAGCTCTATGACCTTTAGCTGGGCGCGCAGAGAGATTTTAATAAACCAGCAGCTTCTCGGGGTGTCCCGGTCTCATAAAGGAGAAGGATCAAAGATGGTGGATGATCAACTAGACGATGTCCATTCATATCGTGGAGCACAGTAGCAGCCACTGACCATCAGAATATTCATTAGTTTGAAAAAGTATTCACAGCTAATTAAGTAAGAAGAGTAAAATCTGTGAATCCTCCAATCACATTGGTGAAGGGACAGACACCAATGCTCAATAGTGTCATCCCCTGCCCCTTCTCCCCTGTCTTGTGTCTTCTCTCTCCCTCCCTGGCCTCCCCTGCAGTTCCTGATACTCCTGTGTCTGATTCCAGGGAAGAACTCTGAGGCTGGTGCCCCCACCGGCTTAGGGGAGGTGAAAAGGCAGCTCCTGGTGGAAGTGGTGGGAAACTGCTCCTATAAGGTCAACAACCACTTGGACCACCTGTACAAACCACGGCCCATAGAGGAGATGCTCAGATCTGGGAAGGAGATGGTTGGTAAGGAGATGGAGTACAGTGCTCTGAGCAGGAACTGTGAGCGCTTTGTCACGGATCTGAGGTACGGCAAGGCCCGCAGCCGGAAGGTAAGGCCCTCTGTGGGGGGCTCCCTCTACCTTCTGCAGGTCTGTTTGGAGTAGAGGAGACAGGGCTGTGCTCCAAAAGAAAAAAATACCCCCAATGATGTAAAAGTATGCTCCCTGCCTCCTCTTAGCTGGGAGTCAGGATGTCTGAGAACAAATCTCAGGTCAGTTTATGATCCATTCAGGGTCTTTGAAAAGTCACTTCCTCTCTGGCTTCAGTTTCCCCATGTACAGAGGAGGCAATGTTTGGAGGACCTCTGAGGCTCTGGCCACCTCTATCCCTTTAGGATCCTTAGCCTATAAGACCCACCCTAAAGGCAGCTCCTGATGCCCTGTGTGCTGTCAGGAAAGTCTGGGCCGACCCGGGACCATGACAGGTCTCCTAAGGCCCCAGAGAGCCGGGCAAGGGATGCTCAAGGTCTGTGGCCCATGTAAGAGCTGGAGGACATGTTCTGTGAGGTCTGGGCACATCCTACCGCTCCCTCTTCCCTCTTAGCAAAGCACAGCTAGTGAGAGGCAGCAGCAGATTCAATGCCCAGTGCTCCCG